TTTTGCTAGTCAGGTTACACGACGCTTGAAAAAAAAAAAACACACACACACAAAAACAATAACTCTGATACCGCGATTCCCATTTTTACAAACTGTTGTATGTTGCATGTCCGGCGCAACATTTGTGGAATTTTTTAGCCGCGCGGCCTGTGACCGCGGAAAATTTCGCAGATTGGCCGAGCGTTCGATAGAATTTTGATAAAGATCTCTCTTGTATTTTGAGGGATAAAATAAATATTGGCGCTCCTCGTGCGTGTTATTACTATATCTGTGCAAACGATAGCGCGGGGGGAGTTTTGACGAGACGTGTATATTCTCGTGTTTATTCGCTTTATACCACGCGAAATCCCCGTCGTAAAACAAACAAAAAAATCCTCGTAAGTGATTTTTTTTTTTTTTTTCGAGAAGAAAAATCGCGATCTTGAATTATTTTGCTCTTTCGCCCCGAATCCGTTGATGCACTCGCGCGCGGTTCAAAAAAAAAAAAAAAAAAGTACGTTCTCTCTTGCAGAGAGACGTTCGCTTGACTCCGCAAAACCGCGCACGTGAAACTTTTTCGTCAAACGTGACTCGGCGACACACGCGTCCGCTGGTGGATGCAAAAATTCGCGACAGAGAGCATTTTCGCGACTTGTATTTTTCTCGCGAAAAAAAAAAAAAAACGGGACGGGAATCGGAGGAGGAGCGGCGAATTGGTCGTAATAATTATTATATCTCCCGCTCTCTCTCGTTGGATCTCGCATTTTTCCCGATCTCGTATTTTCTCCGAAACGGGCGGACGCATGCGGGCGATTCGCGAAATAAAATTCAGAGGAGGCCGAATTAATCGGCCGCAATTCTACGGGATGGAACCAGCTGGCAGTCGCATACGCTAAATAGGTCGTTCCCGGGGAATCGGAGCGCCGGGCATTCGCGCGAGTAGCACGGGCTGCGCGAAATTCGGCGGATTCGCTGAAAAATCAAGAGACAGAAAGAGAGCGGAGATAACCAGGGGGCTTCCGCTGTTTCTCTTCTCTCCGCGGCCCTTTTTAGCGTTTGTTCTCTTTTGTCGTACTTTCTCTTTCTCTCGCGCGGTTTTTTTTTTTTTCGGAGCGAGTTGACGCAGTGCCAAATTGAATTCGGCCTCGCGCGACGGTTTGTGAATAATTTTTCGAGAGCAGCTGCATGTCGTCTCTGTCAACAATAATCGACCGGTTGTCGCGCATCTCCCTCTTTTCATCTTGCGCGTTCCCTCTTCCCGTCACCTGCTGCAACCGCAACAGCAACTGCGTTGTAAAAAAAAAAAAAAAACAAAAATCGTTTGGGAGGAGAAAAAAATAAAAAAATAAAAAAAAAATACGCCGCCGCCAGTCGGAGTTTCCTCTCTTTATATTTTAGCTGACGCGCCGCGTATCGATTTATTCATCGCGGAAATTGAGCGTAACGAGGTGCAAAATGCCTCCAAACATTGGCTCCCTGTACCCTGTCCAATTTTGTATTCCACCCCTTTCGCGTTCTTGCGGTCACCCCTGTCCGTTTTTTTTTTCCTTAAATAAGTTACTGTCGCGCGAGCGGTTTCACCGCCCGGTGCCATCCTATTTCTCCGCTCATTCGCTATTTGTCACCGTTTAAATATACACGTATATATATATATATATCGGTCCGAATATACGAATGTCACGCGATAACATTCAGACAAAAAGACGTGACGAGAATGCATGTCGTAAAGATGTACGTAATCGTTTCGCTTTGCCAAAGAACATTAATTTATCAAAAACAAAACACTTTTATTTTTAATAGAAAACTCTGGCGAATAGATTAGTCGTTAATTAACGATCGATGACGAAGACAAACAAGTTGAAAACAAATTCTCAAAGCGCTTTTACTTAAAATAATTTCATTCTTTGACATTGTTACTCTCTTGGACCGGAGAGAGAGAGAGAGAGAGAGAGAAAATGTGTAATTTTTTTTTTTCACGTGTATATAGTTTCGAATAATTCGAGAAAAGATTGATTTTCGAACTTTTCACACGGATGTTAAACAACATCGATGTAAAAATTTCATCCAATGCGCATGACGTAGAAAATGTCAGAAAAATACGTGTTATCATATTGTGTTTCAAATGTAATAACATATTGTCATAATTGGCGTGTATAGCCTTTAAGCCTGTTGTTGTACACACGACACGCATTTAACGGAATTTTTTTTTAGTGTGTTATTTTACACTCTGCATTTATTATTTACCGGAAATATAAATATAGAGCGATACCTCTTCGACGTGTGTGTGCACGTGACACATCTCGTCTGGCGAATTTTATTCTGAATTTCTTTTTAACTTCGGGATTCGCGCATTTTCGATCATTGAATGTTGAACCGTTTAAAGCGCGAGTGTCTCTCCGCGTTTAAAAAAAAAAACAAAAAAAAAAAAACAAAATCGCGTCATTGAGATATACCGCTCTCCGTGGAAACGGGTTTTGTGTTATTATTATTATTCGCGAACGAAATATCGGCCTCGAACCATAATTTCCTGACAATGCGACAGTTTATTTTCCTCTCCGTGTGTTGGCAAATAGGAAGAAAATGTAATGGAATCGCGCGCGCGCGAGAGAGAGAGAGAGACTGTTCACGGCGAGCCGCATCTCCTTCCGCAATGCAATCAGCGAAAAATAATTGCAGACAAAGAAAATCAAGCGCGTTCGGTTTCTCTTATTCGTTCGACTCCGTTTTAATTATCAAGTGCTCCAGCCGCTATAGGCCGATATTAATGACATGCGTTCGTTCGAACGTTAAGTGCTTTTTCTCTCTCTCTTTCTCTCTTCTCTTGCGCGCGTGCCGTTGCTTCAATCGCACGTTTTCGAAGCGGTAACGATTGTTTGTTCGAAGCAACCTGTAAATAATGCAAATTGTTTCTTTCTTTTTTTGTTTTCCTTGTGACGTGTTTAGCAAGGGAGAAAGACGCGGTGCGGGAAGAAGCATTGCCTTGCATCGATCCTTTTAATAAGACACGGAAAACGCGCATTTCGCGCTCATTATTTTTGCAACTCTCGCGTCTCGAAGCAGCAGGATTGATGTGTTGTAAGACACTTGTCTTCTGTGTAATCTCGAATATACAAACGAAAATTGATAAGACGCAATCTGAAACTTTCATGTTTCAGACGAAAATTTCGTTAATTTTCAATAAATAATAATAAGAATAACGGTCTCTATCGAGCAACAAAAAATAAATCTTATGGTTTATTGAAATAGAATATAAAATTCACATAAATGTAAATTACAGACGTTTCGGCCCTTACTTGAGCCCTCTTCAGTATATAAAATAAACTAACGCCATGTCGCAAAGAGAGAGAGAGGATAACAGTATGATATAAAAAAATTCGTTAATTTTCATTAAATATAACACGAGACGAGACAGCAAGAGACTTTTTCAATTACATCTATTTATATAAAACTTAAAAAAAATAATAATTATACGTTTGAAGGTGATGTAATTTTGTTAATTTGAAGTTTTTAGAAATTCTTGTTTTTCTTTTGCCGCAAAGAAAAAACTCGTGAAATGTAATTACATGTAACATCTCGTGCGCGCAACTTTCGTGAAAAAAAAAAAAGACGCAACAAAGAATGATATAACTGACAATGAAATATTTCAGAGGTTTCTTGCTGTGACGCGTTGCTCGCAATTACTTAAAAATCCATTACTTTGCCAAACCAATTGCCCGTCTCTTCTTAAATCCCATTCTTGTAATAACGTATCTAGAATTTTTAACAATTGTCTCGTCTCTTTTTCTCTTTCGTATTTTTTTTTTCCGCTGCGAAACTGTTACACACGAGAAGAGAAGAAAACTTTGCAACAAAAGCTCGCACAACCGTACATGTTCACACATCTGACGAAGCACAGAACTTTATTTCATCCGCGCTGAACTGCGCGAGGCAGTCGTTGACTTTACGCTAGAATTCCTTTATTATACTCCCCCGACATTGTGTTCAGATTTTATTATTAATACTTTTACACCACTTGGCGCGGAAAAATATCTTTCCCGAGACGAGGGGGAATTTTCGCACAATAGCGTTTACTGTACGTCAGATAATTCCGACACAGATCGTCCCGTTCATTCGTGGTGCGGTAATTCTCGTGATTTGTCCAACGTACGTATTCGCGCGACTAATGCGCGCGACCAAAGAGGGGACATTTTACTCGCGGGATTGACGTTAGATTTTTTTTTTACGTCCGTGGCGCGAGTTGCACTAGCCGCGGGGATTAAAAATTGCACACACAATCCGACACCGTTAGCCGGGATTAACCCCGAAAAGCGTTTGCGTTCTCGCAAGACCGCGATTGCCGCGCTGCATTATAGAGGGGGCCGTAATTTTGTTGTTACACGCCGGCGAAGCTTCATAATACTCCCAGACCGTGGGCGCTTTTTCCATCTGTCGAGCTTGCATTATTTCATTCTTTCGGCGTTTTTCACCGTCCGCGCCGCATCGCGCTATATATACATATATATATATATAGTTGCGATATACTATATATACGTGTATATACATATATACAGTTGCTTCGTGCGATTCCGTCTGTTCCCGCGCGTCTTTGCCCGGCAGCGCGTTTCGCAGACAGAAAGCGCGGAATACGTTAAATACAGAATGTTACGTAATGGCTCCGTTATCCTCGCTCACTACGCGGCGGTAATGCGCTTTGCGATAGCATTTTTCTCCGTGCAACGTGCCGCCGACTTTCTTTTTTGTTTTTTTTTTTTTTTTCTTTCTTTTCTTTATTCCTTTTCTTCTTTCCTTCTCGTCGTCGTAATACATCTCTCGCTAGAGCGAAGACGCTTTGAATTACGTTCGGTTGCGTGAGCGTAATGCGCTCGCGTCTACTTTTGTCTCGGATTAAAAGCACCGTGCATTATTCCGTTCGCAGCACGTATTGTGTCATTCCTCCCTCTCCTCTCCCTCACCCCCCCTCGGTACGTAAAATCGTCGAATAACGAATTTAAAATCCGTTTTTCCCCCATTGTGTGTTTCAGAATACCATTCTGCCCGAGGCTGTGCACTTTTGGGAACGAGCGTTGATGGTGCGAGAGACCAAGAGTACCATTAGATTAAGCAGGTGAGAGAAAAACAACGTGTGAAATCGCGTGTCTAATTATTAATTTAGAAAAATTTCGGGGAAAGTAATTTATTTACGAAATATTGTTCATTTCGTGTGTGTGTTTTTTTTTCGAAACAACTACATATATTTTATTTATACACATATTTTATTTACATTATATTTTATATACAGGATGGGGAAAAAAGGTCGGTATCTCTCTAAGAACTCGGAAAATAAAGTTTTATAGAAAAATGTTCCAGACAAAAAAGTTGTAGGGCATAAAAAGATCTTATTTAATAATCATATCAGTTTGACCTTGTGCGGCACAGAAAAGATCAGGTCAACGTCACATCGATTTTTTTTTTTTTAATGGAACTCTTTATTTTTTATTTCAGATTCTTGTAGCTTAGTTCAAGAGCTTTGATAAGCTCTTGAGTTCAGCTACAAGAATCTGAAATAAAAAATAAGAAGTATCCGAGAAATTTACATTTATTCTCTTTACTCGAAGTATGAATATTTTTTTTTCAAGGAAAGAGTTTTAAGTGTTTTTGTACAAACATCTCGCGAGAAAAAAATAGAAACGCAATATTATATATAAACAGGGCGGGGAAAAAAGGTCGGGGTATGAATAATTCGAAAAATAGAAGTTTTATAGAAAAATGTTTGAGACAAAAGTTGTAGGGCATAAAAAGATTTATTTAATGATCTTATCAGTTTGTGACCTTGTGCGGCACCGAAAAGGTCAGGTCAAAGTCACATCGATTTTTTTTTTTTGATAGAACCAGAATGTAGCTGAATTCGAGAGCTTCTCAAAGCTCTTGGACTAAGCTATAAGAATCTGAGAAATAAAAAATAGGTAGTTCGATTTAATGCCACACAAGGCGATCAAACTGATAAGATCATTAAATAGATCTTTTTATGCCCTACAACTTTTCTATATAATATTGCGTTTCTCTTTTTTTTCTCGCGAGATTTGTACAAAAACGCTTAAAACTCTTTGCTTGAAAAAAAATATTCATACCGTGAGTAAGGAGAATAAATGTAAATTTCTCAGGATATTTCCTGTTTCTTATCTTATACCAAGCGTCGTAGAATATTAACGACTGTAAAATGAGCATTTTTCAAGCGAAAGGAAACAAGCGGGAATAACGGGTAAGTGTATCCTGAAGTAGGAATATTAACGCGCTCTCGGGTTATATAATAGAATACAGCGAAAAGAGAGAGCGTTTGCATTATTATATCTTACCTACACGTACGCGCGCGGTCCGCGGGTCGCGTCGCGTTTATTTGCATAGAGACCCCGAGATGCTAAGCTAAAAGCGTGTGAATATGTATCGCACGTATTTGCGTTCGCACAGCCGTTCATCTGATTTACCGCCGTGGAAACACGTACCGGCGTTATTATGGTCCTGTATAGCGGCGCGCCGCGCTATACTACGCGCGTACTACTTGCCGGGGGATTCAATATGTCGCTTCGATAAATTGACATTTATTAGAAAAGTGATTTCCCGAGCGCCAGAATGATAGGAAACCTGGGCCGTTCAATATCAATTTTGAATTCTGTTAGATATTGTATAAAAAGTTATATTATATATACATATATATATATATATACATATATGTGCGGATATTATATTGGATATATATTTCCAATTAAATTTTCATTCTTTTAACTTCGATTTTGTCGCCAGTTTTTTTTTTTTTTCGCGAGATTGCAGTTTCGCTGAAGGTAAATCTGCCAATATATACCGATCGGTTCGTCGCGCAAAGATGTGTATAAAAATACGAGATTTCAACGAATATGAGGATTTTTTTTTTTTTTGCAGTGATATATCGACTGCAACGCGCGCCGCGATGTTTGGTGGAGACGTATCGGCAAGAGATAAATGTTTGCCGTTTCGTTCTCGTCCTTTTTTTCCGGACGCCGCGCGGCGTTATAGTTCGGCCGCAGATACGCAAGCAACCTAAATTAATGCATCCGTGTCCGGCGCGCAGATAAACAGAACACATGGGAAGTGCATAAAGTCTCGCGCGCGCATATAACTGCATAGTTACGTGGTTTTCTGGGCGTGTAAACGAGCTTCCTTCTCCCCCCCGCCGCCGCTCGTTCCTCCCGTGTTTCTAACGAGGCGTGACTTTCCGCGGCGATGCCTCTTTCTCGCGTTGCCACCGCATTTCCGAAACCACGCGCGAATTGTCCCACGTGGACGGCCGAGAACAACGGCCGCCTATATCGCGAATTTTCGGTGATTACGAATTTATGGCGCCCGCCGAAAATGTTGAAACTCCGAAGCGCGCCGAGCTGTGTTTTGTTTTTTTTTTTTCGCGCATGTTGTTGAAAAAACAATTCACTCAAAAATACAATAAATTAAAATGTTCCTGTAACAAAATAACAAAAAAAAAACTTGAGAAAAAGAAAATATGAAGTTTTTTTCATCTCTTTTTTAAACGCATTGCAATTTTAATTATTATTATTATTTTTTTTTATATATTGGATCTCGTTCGGTATCGCGTACTTTTCGGTTAAACTCACGTCGCCTATCGCGCTCTTTCTCTTTTCTTCTGTGTTTTCTATTCTCACAACGTGACAACGCAAAAACCGTCGTGCAGTGCATTAAACGCCACTCCAACGTGAAATGCGCACACCGCCTCAACGGCCTTATTACATGATAAGATACTTGATAATGGAGCGATTATCTCGCTAGCTCTGCGCGAGAGATTTCCCGCTGGGACAGTCCCGAGACATCATAAAAAGCTCCGCACTTCCGGCATTTACGCGACGTCGCAAAAGCAAAGGGAGCTAAAGGGTGAAAATTACCCCACCCTCGGGGCGGTTAGTGCCAACGGTCAGTGCAAATTCGATCGATTGGCGTGGAACGTGCGCAGGGCGAAGTTCCTTCGATTTATCGATGCCCGAGCGGACACATCCTTCCCGTGTAGGGAAGCGCCGACGTTCAGTGGATAAGGGAAATGAGCTTACCGCACACTGGCGCGGACGGTGCGGAATAACACAGAGAATCGCCGTCGGGTAATAAAACAAGTGGAGGGAGAGAGAGAGATGGAACGGGAGTTCCGAGTCACGTACATCAATCTCTCTCTCTCTCTCTCTCTCTCTCTTGCCAACTTTCATTCCCATTGCTGCCAATAAAAATCCAACCGGAAAACCGCGGTGGTAATCTTCGCGCGTCAGCTGCCTCCTCGCGAAAAACTTTGCGCGACGTTTATCGATCCTCTCATGTATCATTATATACCCGTTTTCCTCGTCACGGCTTGCTGCGGCCCTCCTTCTCGACTTTCCACCCTTTTCTCATCCCGAGACACCGCGGAGATAAGACCGAGTAGGGTAAGAGTATCCTCTCCGTTCGCGCCATTAAAGTATGTTTAATGGCGCTGATCGAGCACCCGGCGCGAATGGAGATGTCAGATTTCGATGGACCAGAAGTAGTATCGAGCTATATCGCACATTTTACGCTACTTCGATACCACACCCGGAAGAAGAGCGGTATCGAAGTTACGCTTCGAGAAAGAGAGGAGTTCTCGGACGAGAGATCGCTCAAACAGGATTAACTTCGCGGAGGAGAGAAAGATCGATCGAATTGCGTACAAAATTCAACGCGCAAAATCGATTTATATGCATATATTCATAGCCCTCGTAGATATATATATATATATACATATATATATAATTTATCTCGTCGATGTGGATTTTAAACTGTTTCGATATTTTCTCTATAAAATGCTGAAAATTTGTTCCTCTCTCTTTCTCTTTTCTTTCCGCTCCCGACCTCGCTAAGCGCGCGAGGTTCATAATGGAATATATCCGCGATCTTGTTCGCGCGAAGAATCGCGCGAGGAAAAAGTTTAATTTTCTCGATATAGAATTTTCTTGTGATTCTCACAAGAATCGCGTTAGGAAAGATTTTTTTGCGGAGAAGAAACGGAATCGCAGACGCGCGAGAAATTTTTCCGCGAGATATCGAGAAAAGACTTCGAGAGAGAGAGATATATATTTTTGATCGCGCGGTCACGCGCGCGGCGCCGAAATAGACGGCGCATTAAATTCTCTCGTCGGTCCGTCACAAAAGATAAATGTAATGCTTGTCGCTCAGAATGCAGAGCGAAATCGGATCGAATGGATCGGACGCTCGTACGCGCACACACACGCGCGTGGGCAGAATTGCGCGTCGGGCAACACGCGTCAAAGGAGATTCGATTTGAGAGCGAACCGGCCGGCGTTTAAACGGGGCGAGCACGCGTGTAACGTTTATCGGCTGAATGCACGCCACGGGAGGGGGAGCTGGGGGGTCTGGGGGGCCCGCGAAGGGAGTAGTGCGAGAGTGCTGTGAGAGATGATTCGCAGGGTCGTTTACATAACGCGATATTACGGCGTAACGACTGTAACGCTTTAATGCACTTCCGGTCCCGCGCATCGGCTCGCCGATTGAAGAAGCCTCGAGAGCCCCTTTACCTCGCTTATCGTTCACAGGGAAGCGGTTTAGCTTGCACATTCTCTCTCTCTGCCTCTCTCCTCTCTCCTCTCTCTCTCTATCTATCTATCTGTCTGTCTATCTATCCATCTATCTATCTCTCCCTTTCTCTCTTTATCTCTGTCCGCTTCTAAACCGAGCCCCTGTTCAAACAATGCGCGCAAATCTGAGTATTGCAGCCTATAGTCCTACGATGGACGCGCATCATTCATCTCTCTAAACATTATTCCCTTTGTATTCGGACAATCTGAATCGTATTTTCTCCAGATTGCCGCTACGTATCTGGTTTACTTAAAACTGAGCTTTGTGTTCGATGTTCGAACAGTAACAGAATAAATGTGACGAAGAAATATCAATCCTACACTGAGAAAAAAATACTATTGACTCAACTAAATGCGTTTAGTTAGAGTTTCAGTTTGTTTATCTGAAATACTTGGTTTTTTTTTAATTCAAGCATATGGTAATAAAGATAACAAATTCGTATAAGTTGAATTAACAATAGTGGTAATGAACATATTTAATTCACTAAAC